GGAACTGATGCTCGTGTAGGGAGCTGTGCACCAGTCAGTCTGTTCATTGCAGCATGGGTTACGGAAGCAAAAATCAGGCACAGGTATTTGTTGCTTATGAAGTAGATGAATAAAATTTAACAGTTATAGAGTAGAATATTCCAACAGCTAGGCACAACTGCTTAAATTTATGTATTAACAACAAAAGAAAAAGAAAGATCAGCATGAAGAAAATTGAGTTGATGGATATATTTTGATGATTCCTGTGTAAATTTGAATAAAACCAACTTGTCGACTCTGGTACTAAGTCTTGCTTATGGGAAACACTTTTCTCTACAACTAGAATTGAGAGGCTCTATGTATTCGGTTCCTAAAAAGTGGCCATTGCTGTTCCAGTACGAATGAGTTCTGTGGAAACGAAATGTGACAAAGCAGGGTAATTATATGCTACTCCAGTTTTATATCTACATATCTACTTTTCATTAAAAATAGAGGTTCCGAATAAATGTAACAAATTGATAGTTCTACGTTGTGGCAACATATATTCTGTGCTATTTTTCTTAAAAAGATAGCTATGAATGAGATACATATTATTACAAGAGTCCCCATGGTATGTGTGGGGTACATCCCACGATACCTGGTGGACACCTGTAGTGTTAACTGTTAGGTTTTCCTATGTACATATGTGCCTGTGGTAAAGTTTATTAGTACCACAGGAGTCTAACAACAACTTTTTATACAGCATTGTAACCGCAGCTTCTGACTTTCCCCCTTATGGAGAACATTCATGTCTTCACAGAAGCACAATTTCACTTGCACATCAATATTCTTGGGCTTTGGAGCCATTGTTGAGTGAAGAAAGTGTTGCTGTGTAGTTTCTGTCCACTGATTGGACCCAGACAAATAAAGTTTGGAGAAGTCCTGCCCTGATCTGGTTGTTTTCTTGTGCTATGGGGTTGGTCCTTTTGCTGAGACCTGGATTTTTTTGTGCTCGAGGCCATGCCAAGAGATTGGTGATTCTGTCCTCAGGTGTGGTGAGTTGGAAGTGGTGTCATAGTTACCATGACTGACTGGAGCAGGAAAAACCAAAAGCCTGTAGCATGTCATCAACTTTCATTCTCCCATTTGTCTGACTATATTAAAACTAGAAATTGACCTTTATATGCCCCCTCCCATCCCTTATCTCTCTTATCTTCCTTATCTCTCTTAAATACACAAGGCTAACTTTGAATTCATACCCTTCTCCTACCTCAGTCTTGATTACAAGGGTCAGCCATGTATGCTAGACCTCAGACTTGGTCGTATGTCTTAGGTGTAAGGTAACTCAAGAGAAGCTTTGTCTGAACCCTAGTGTTTCATGTAGCATGATGTGCTCCAAACTGGCCTCAGGCTTGATTCCATTCCCTGAATAGTAACTTCCATGAGTGATTTTCCTTAGGATTGGAAAAAAAAAAATCCAAAGAAACTACAACCAGATCTAGAAGAACAAATGAGAAATCCCTTTACCCAGTTTCTAAAAGTTAGGTTGAATACCTAACTTTTGAGAGCTCAAATCCTAGGAGAAAGGTTGTTAACGGCCACTCTAGAGAAGGTGGCGATTGTGACTACTCCGAAAACAAGCAATAAATGAGCTCTTCCTGTCCAATTCAAACTACCACTCAAATTCTCTCTCTCTCTCTCTCTCTCTCTTTCTGATAGAGCATGATGGTTGTTCTGAGACAGCCTTGACTGACCTTGAGCTCACAGAGATCCATCTGCTTCTGTCCCCTGAATGCTGGGATTAAGGACATGTACCACTGTGTTTGGTCCACATTTTCTTCTAGGGAAAGGTGTGGGGGATGGGGTCTTTTATATCCTAGGTTGTTCTTGAACCTGCTACATAACCAGGAATAACCTTGAACACTGGAACCTCTGTCAGCTCCTCCCAAGTTCTGGGATTTCAGACATGCCCTAGATGCCTAAATGCTAGGTAAGTACCATACAGACTGACCAGCATTCCAGGTGTCAGACCCATGTTCACGCTCGTTCAGGCGAAACCCATGGTGCCTTGCCTAGAGGGGCCATATTTGGGAGAATGTTCTTTGCAATGTAGCTAAAGACAGACATGGTGTCACACACAACGGGTGGAGCCTGCAGCCTCAAATTCTTTTCAGCTAGTATTAGTCCATTCATGAGGGACAGAGCTGTTGCAAGGAAGGCTGCTTGTTTGTCCCGGCCGCCCAGAACTGAAATAACCACATAGAAACTGTATTAATTAAAACTGCTTGGCCCATTAGCTCTAACGTTTTATTGGATAACTCATTAATTTAACCCATTTCTATTAATCTGTATATCACCACATGGCAATGGCTTACTGGGTAAAATTCCTAGCATCTGTCTCAGGTGGGTGCATGGCATCCTCTGACTCTGCCCTTCTTCCTCCCAGCATTCATTTCCATCTTCCCCGCCTACCTAAGTTCTGCCTTATCAACAGGCCAAGACAGTTTCTTTATTCATTAACCAAGAAAAGCAACACAGACAGAAGGACCTCCCACACCACAGAGCTCTACTGGTATGTCTGGGTGTCGCCCCTCATCCCAGCAGACAGGCTCAGTATGTAATCCTGGCTGAACTGGAACTCCCTTTGTCCAGGCTGGCCTCAGACTCATAGAGATCTGCCTGTCTGCCTCCTGAGTGCTGGGATATAAGGCATATATCACCATGCCTGACTATGGTCCAAATCTTAACACTTGCTTTTGAAAACTAAAATTATAACACATTTGTAAGGGGATACATTCAAATCACAGCAAAGTGAAACTACTTTTGTAGCCTGCAAATTTGGCAATTTATTCATTTTTTTAAAGATTTATTTATTATGTATACAGCATTCTGCCTCCATGTATGCCCACATGCCAGAAGAGGACACAGATCTCATTACAGACGGTTGTGAGCCACCATGTGGTTGCTAGGAATTGAACTCAGGACCTCTGGAAGAGCAGCCAGTGCTCTTAACCACTGAACCATCTCTCCAGCCCCCAATGTATTCATTGTTTACATGGATTTTTAAAAATATTTTTAAGGTTTGTTTATTTTACACATATGAGTGTTTTGCATACATATATGTCTCTGTGGGTCAAAACTCAGAAGAGGACTTCAGATTTCCAGATTCTGGAACTGGTGTTATAGACAGTTTCAAGCTCCAAAGTGTGTGCTGGGAATCAAATCCATGTCCTCAGCAAGAGCAACAAGAGCTCTTAAGTAACCACTGAGCCATCTCTCCAGCCCCACAGTGGCTCTTTTCTTTGTTTTCAGACAGACTCAGTAACCAGGGTAGCCTACAATTCACAGTTCTCAAGCCCCAGCTTCTCTTGTGATGAGCCATGCACCACCACACTGAGCTAGATAGAATAAACTTCCTTAATACTTGATAACTATGTGCTTGAGGGTGAAAATACTAGACACCAAAGTCTGCAGTGGAGTAATTTTATGAATTACTGGGATTGATCAAATAAAAGCCTTCAGTTTTCCTCTACCTCCTGGATGTGTATTGGTTAGACCCCTCTATAGATCCAGAGCCTCTGGCAAATCTCAAAGCCGTTGTTACTTAGTTGGTCCCTGAAAGTCATAGAAAGATACAAAAGATAGATGGGTTTGCAGGAAAGAATAGGTCACAACTATTAGAAATAGCCCAGAAAATGTTTGATGTTAGAGATCTTTACAAAAGGACCAATGTCAGGGTCCAGCCCCAACATAAACCATTTCTCATGCCAGAGTGGAGGTGTGGGAATGACTTTATCAGGAGGGAGTTTTCAGGGACCCTTCATGAAATTCTGAGTTCACATCCTGAAAATTTTCTGTGTTTATTCTCTAAACAGCTTTTATACTAAAATGTAAACTGAGGGGGAAATTCATTAGCATTCTGTTTCCTAGGAAGCCGGGAGAATGACTTAGGTCACATCTAAAACTATGCCTGCTCTGTCACATAGACTGACACCTCTTCCCCAGGCTATCTCCTAAATTAGAATAGAAGGGGCAGAATGACATCAACATATCCTGACAATTTGCTTAGGATGGCATCAGGCTCTCTCACTATGTGTAATAGGTGCAAATTGTGCCTTGCCAGGTTGCTCAGAATCCTGGCTGCCATACAATGCAGAAATAT